ATAAACCAAAGGAAATCTAAAACTGACTAAAGTCAAATCAGCAGTATAACAAAAAGTGACAGCTAAGTATATTTTAGTCTCTGCAAATATTTGTGATGTGCGCTCATGGGGCGGTATTAACGTACATATATCTTTTGGCTCTGCTCATGCATTCGTATGAACACGTTATTTGTTCTTTCAGCCCAGCGGACTAACATCAGTGTTAGCTGTTTCTAAAACATTACCAAACCTTTTTCTAGGCATCATAGGAAAGTATTGTCAGGCTGGTTTTAAATTTAATACCTCTCACAGAAGTAATGTCACAGCCCACCCGAACTCCTAGATCAATATTCTATTAAAGTCAAAGCAGCTTATCACAGACTTCTAAACCTGCCATCTAAAATTACTTTTTTGGTTTTTTTCTTCCCCTCCTAAATTTCAGAACTTCCTATAATCTCTTGAATTTATGACTGCATTTTTTTGGTCACATTTGGTATGTTTGAAAGGCAGCCACAGTTTGATAGCACTGTAAAAAGGAATAGTAAGCGTGACTTACAATTTTAGTCCTGAGAAATCATCTCTGTATAAGGGGAAATTCTGATTAACTGAAGTCAGCAGAAGTTTTCCTATTGACCTGCAAGGGTTCATGACTGCATCTTTTAAATCTATCCTGTATTATTATAGGATTTATCAGCAGATATAATGCTTTAGAGGGATTTTTCTTAGCTCCTCACCAATTTGTATAGCCAGCTGTCAGGTGAGCTCTGATGAACTTCTGTAAGAAGTGGATAAGGCTCCTGGTTACTTTAGATCTGGAATAAAGCTACTAACTTAGCTGTTCTGGATTTATTTTGATATAACCAAAAGTAAATAGACCTTACATTGGAAATCAAATGAATCTTGGTCTCAGCAAACCCAGCCAAATCATGAAGCTCATGTGCGAACAAGGCAAGCAGTCCTAAGACTTCGCAAGTGGCAGCACACAGAGAAATTCAGGACTCTGCTTTCTTGTTCCTTCCTAGTTGATTCTAAAAGAATGGGTGTTGAAGGTTTGACAAAGCATCTGCAATGACAACAGAGGACATTTTTATTTAATAGTATGCAATTTGCAGCATAATTCCTGTCTTTTAGTACTAATGAGTAAGCTGAGTATAGTTATACTATAGTTACTATAGTAACATACTATAGTTATGAGTATAATAAGGCTGGCACATTCCCAGCGCTCTGTGGAGAGGTCTGACCTCCTGCCATTGTGCTTTTTACCTTGTTGGAGTTAGCAAGACATCATCTTTCATCCTAAATTATCAACTGAACCAGAGACTAGTGACTGGGAGACAACTGTTCTGCCTTTCATGAAGTGTTACTAGCTGGGGAGAGGAGCCCACCTGGTAGGAGGCAAGGCATTGGTGAGTTTCAGCTTCTTAATTGGAAAAAATATAGTTGTTCTCTTGCAAATTCACTGAAAGCTCCTAGAAGTATTTATTGATGTGGAATTGCTAAAGTAGGCTGGTGTCCTACACTTACGTAAGAGGCAAAGAGCCTTGATTATTAGGATAGCACATGGCCCAGTAATATTGAATGTAGTGCTCATGCATTTTCTAGGCATTAAGTATCTGAAATATTTCTAGGTTTTAAATGTTTCTCAGGAATGTTTGTAAGCCCTTAAGCAGTGGGCTGCTACATAAAATCTAATCAAATGCAAAGGAAGAACAAACAAGAGAGGAAAAAGTTGAGACTTTTGCATTTGTAATTACTATTCTGGTATTAATGAGGCTAGATCCAAAGCCTATTTGAATCTATGGGATTAGCAATAGCCCAATTATTTTTAGAAGCAAGGTTTTCACATTGAAAACATCTCTGTAAGTTCGATATTTTAATGAAGTGAAACTTTCTTGTATATAAATATAATTGGGATGATCAGTGAATGTGATAATTGTTTTAAGTCGAGTATAAGATACTTGGAAGCATGTTTTTCCTCTTTTTTGTTTATTTTAGTCTTAATTATCCTTGTATTCCCAGAAACGTAATTCTGGGCTATATTGCCGTCTGTGTGAAGCAGCTAATTTGCACTCAAAAAATTGTTTGTGAGTCCTCATAAGTGAGACGCTGCCATTCCAGTCTTAGAGACATCGTTTTTGACAGACATATTAGAGCATTTCACGCATGTTGGAATAGATGCCTCTTCCAGCTATTTTAGGAATTCTATGTGTAGTAGTTACATTTGCATTTGTAAATACTGTTATTGCAAAGTTAAGGTTTCAAAATAAAGGAAATGAAGAATTAAGATTTCCTCTGTGGTCTTAATTTGCCTCCCTTCTGTATATGTGTTAAGACGTTGCCTCTAATTATTTGACTATGTATTATTTTTACTCCACAGCTTTATTCTGAAAGCAAATGGATAGTACTTGCTTAGTAGCACCTATTCAGTATTTTGTCGTCTTGTTAAAAGTGCTGGTATTGCTAATGACAGAGTATTTAGAACTAACACTGAAGATGAGTTATTTTTGCTCTACATTTCCACAAACATTTAATGAATTAGTTTCCTACAAGACCCAGAGGAGGCAGGAACACCTTCTCTTTCCCATCTTACAGCTGAAGCACTGAGACACTAAAGGGTTCAAGTCACCAATGAATGGACCAAGGAAACCTTGGAAACCAAGGGTTTCCAGTGAATTTGGGTTCCCTACTTAAAGCACAGAGGGACCTGGTTTTTCAAAGTTCAGACAAAATGTTGTGCTGGATGTAGATATTTAAAGTGTAGGTGGAGTCCCCCTTGCCTTTACTGGCTGATGTGCTCAGAGTTTCTTTTGTTCCACACCCCAGAACCGCAGGTAGGGTAGCTGCTGTGCATGAAGAGGTTGTGTGGTCATGCACCTTCCAATTTGGAGTCTTGGAGCACCTCATTAAGTGTGAGATTTAAGTGCGTGCTTGGGTGAAAGCAAGTGCTTTGGCTGTTACTGTTTCCTCTCTGTCACGAGTGAGGCAACTGAGCAAACACTGAAGGAACCCGAGT